AGAGAAGCAGTTGCTATTTCTGTGTACGACACGGTGTTGAGAAAGCTGGAGGCCGGCATGCTCCGTGCAGAATGGCAAGCATCACTTCAGAGATCCCGGCGTGCGTGCGTGTGTGTGTGTGTGTGCGTGGTTGTGTGTGTGGGGGGGGGGGGGGGCTAGAGGAATTTCAGTCACCGACCCCCGGGAAAGAAGGAAGCGATGCGGGGTAGGGGAGGGTAGACTGGCTCAAAGGAGCGACTTTTCCAGAAAAACTATGACGCAGCGGTGGAGACTTCAAGCACGCCGTTTGTGACCTATTCTGGAAAGATGCATAGCTAGCTATGATCATATATCATTAAGAAAACAACTATGTACATGAGGTAACTGAGTGTAAATTTCATTCATCTGACACTAATAGCGATATATATTATTTACCACATCCCTTCTTTAATAAATCTAATTGGCTATCTGCACTACGTCTATTTACCTAACATGTTATTTACTCCGTTGTGTAATCATCAAAACGATGCCACTGACCTGATTTATTATTTACTGAAGTCTGTTTACTGCATGCGTTATTTGCCCCAAATACCTGAGGATCGGTGGGGATGGGGGGGGGGGGGGGGTGAAGTGGGTTGTTCAAAGAGCGGCTGACTCACAGTTTACACAACTTAACCCAAACAAAGCCTAATGAGGTCAGGGCCTGGCCATATTCAGAAAACAAGGCAGGTAATTAAGCTGCCATTCAAGTGGTTCCCTCCCAATTTTTGATCCAACCCAAAGCCAGCAGACTGGCAAATATTTACCTTCACATCCCGGGTACCTCGGCCTGTTCTATGTCTCAGGTTTTCCCTAAATACAATAGAAGAAAGAAAAAGTGGGGGGGGGGGGGGGGGCGAAGTGAGGAAGAGCCAGAGAAGCAGGAGGAGGATCAGGTTGGAGAAGAAAGATATAAAAAGAAGTGGAGAAAGGGAGACGGGCTGATGAACAGAACAAATACAGACTGTAGGTATGTGCTTTGCTGGGAAAAGGGGGGGGGGATTGTCATGTTTAACTAGCATTCATAAAGGCGAGCTTTAGGTTATAATTGTGACTAGGATATGTGCGCCATTTAAAATGGCTCAACACTGCACGTCATCAGGAGCCCTGAAAAGGACTCTTGCAGTGTCGATGGGATCAAATAAGGCAGAAAGACCCAAATAATGCCCCTACCGGCGACAAAATCGTATACCGTCGAGCCAATAGGCGAAGATGAATACAGACTGCAAAGAGAAGGAAGGTGGGTGAGAAAATACACAAGTGTGTGAAGAGTGAGAAAAATAAGAAAGGCGGGAGAACGGCAAAAGAGGGATGAGATAGAGAACGATAAATCAGAAATGTGGGGCGGGGCGGGGAGGCGGGGTGGGGTGGGGTGAAGACACCGGAGCTAGATAACAAAGAGTCAGAGAAGACAGGAATCAAGATCAATAAAAGAGAAATAAAGAGAAGAGACTGACTAGACAGCCGCTGCAGGACTGGACCACCAGCGCCATGTCAGATCTGTTTGAAGTTGGCGTTCTTATCACAATTACGGGCCAATGCTCCGCCCATATACACATTTATGAATGACGGAGGCACGACAGGTCACTGTGATTGAATGGTCATACTCTGCCCTAAGCTGTCACACGGTCACGTGTAAAGGGACAGGGGTGTCAGTTTTTTTTTTCTTGTGTATATGTTGGAGTACGGACAGGTACACAGTGGCTTTTCTGCGCGACTTAGTACATAGTATTAGTGTTTGTTGGTGGGTACATCACAGCCGTCTAAGATTTAGCTTAGATTTTATTGCAGGGGGTAGAGTTCCGTGTCTGCAGCGACACGTAGAATGCACTGTCTCGTAGGACTTAGGTTTAGTCTGCCGCGAATTAGTCTGCGCCTAGTTGCAAATGTTATGGGGTCGTTAAAATCGCTAACTAGCTGTATTATAGAGGTTGCGTCACGGGAGAGTGAGATCTCGATGTCCTGATGTCGTAAATGTGTGTCATAAATGACGCCACTCGGACAAAGCCACAGTGACACCCCTCTAACCTTTAAAGAAGTCGACTCGGCTGATCAAGTATGAATGAAAAGTTACGCACCGTGAAGCGAAGGAGCCAGGGCTCGAAACTGTGATAAGAACCGAAGTTGGTAATCATGTCTGACCACAGCCTTCTTTCCCGCTCTGTCAATCATGTCTGAACACAGCCTTCTCTTTTATGCACCGACAGTCATGTCTGAACACAGTCTTATCTTTCATGCACTGTCAGTCATGTCTGAACACAGCCTTCTCTTTCCCGCTCTGTCAATCATGTCTGAACACAGCCTTCTCTTTCATGCACTGTCAGTCATGTCTGAACACAGCCTTCTCTTTCATGCACTGTCAGTCATGTCTGACCACAGCCTTCTCTTTCATGCACTGTCAGTCATGTCTGACCACAGCCTTCTCTTTCATGCACCGTCAGTCATGTCTGATACAGATGATCTTCCATGCCATGATTCTAAACAAACAGCCCAATCTTTTGTCCTGGTCTCACTCTGCTTCTTTTCCTGTTCAATATTACGTTGTCTTGACGTATCATAGCAAAGTCGAATGGATGTGGCCTAGTGGAGCAAAGCCTTGCATATGATATCACAACGTCTAGTTTGAGAATAAAGGTAGAGGCAGTCTCTGCTGCCTTCCGCTGGCTTGAGAATCAGCTGTACACACAAGCCCGTGATTGCAACTGACTCACAGAGCTTGTTCAGAAAGGTGAAAAAAAGCATGCTTCGTGCAGAGTGGCAAGTATCGCTTCAGAGGACCCGGGTAGTTAGCATCCTTTGGATATTTTCTCCAGGTGATGCCGATGTGTTAGGAAATGAACGAGCAGATAGACTGGCTGACTCTGCACCTCTTGGTGATGAATTGATGTATGAAAAGTTCGATATTGTGAGAACCTTTTGAGAGCGAGGGAGCAATGCGGAGGGGCAGATAAATCATTTCGGTCTAAGGAGAATAGCGCTGTGAGGAGTTACCGGGGGATCTGGCCAACGCTCAACTCTCAGGGGAAGGATGAGACGGATATTCAATCAGAGGGTTACTGATACCACTGGAATTTTAACTCTTCGCTTGCTGCTGAAGATAAGGACTGAGCACTAGTGTCCCTAGTGCTATGATGTGGATTCTTAATCCAAAATTCAACATTTGTCTTGACGTAATCTTGTCGGCATCTGAGGCTTAAATGCTGCGAACGCCCTTCGTCATGTAAGAAATTGGAGAATTCAGTCAGCTGCGAGGCGATCTCTGACAATGAAACATTCAAGTACGAGAGAAGATTGTGAAGCAGGAAAATCAATGAAGTGAACCAGACATGAGGACTTCTAACGGCCAATCGCACTGTTAGGATCGGAACCAGAATCACGCGGCTAAATTAGCTCTCTACCAGATGCAAAAAACACAGACAGCAATACAGCAACTGTGTCAACGTCAATGATAAAACAGTGGAAAGTGCTGTGTGGAATATGTACTCTTATTTGCTTGTGAAACACAAACAACAACAACAAACAACAACAACAACAACAACAAACTAAGAAGTTGAGAGAACGAACTACCGAACGAACAAACGAACTTTATTTCCAAAGGGTCACAAATTGGGCATGCAGGCCCGTCTGACATACGGCCCCTCCCAACACACACCTTTTACACTGAAGTTGCATTTTATCAATAAAGCATTTTATGTTCATATAATAATAAGCATATTATGAATATCAAGCAAAAACTCAAAAAAGTACAGTCCGTAAAATGTATGCGCACACTTTCGTGCGCACACATCCACACCACCATTCACACGCAAACGCACTCACTCACTTGCCCACACATACATACACACATACATACACACATACATATACACAGACATCACACACACACAGAGAGAGAGAGAAAGAGAGAGAGAGAGAGAGAGAGAGAGAGAGAGAGAGAGAGAGAGAGAGAGAGAGAGAGAGAGAGAGATACACACACAGCCACACACATAAGGGTAACGTTTTGTTACTTAAACAAAAAAAGGGGGAAAAGGGGGGAGGGGGGGGGGTGGTCACCCGTGGAATCAAAAACTAAGGTAATCTTTCAAGAAACAAATTAAAATTATAAACTGATTAAATAAATGAGTCGCAGAGAGTCAACTTGTTGTTTACATTTAATGTCATTTACTAGGAAACAGTATGAAGGCTTTGTGGCAACTGGCTAACTTTATGTACTATGAGCAAGAGGAAGACAAAGGAAACAAAATATATGGATGGTTTGGTCTAGGCCGTCAGTAGCGACAGTCTGGTCGGGTCGTCGGTAGCCACGCTCTTACCGGGACCGTCGGTAGCCACGCTCTTACCGGGGCCGTCAGTAGCCACGGTCTGGCCGGGATCGTCGTTAGCCCAAACAGAACCGGTCTTGGTCTGGCCTATATGCTGACAAGAACCTGGTCGTGATTGGATATTGATGATTGTGCGACATGACGAACAATCATGACTGATCGTACATATCAGGTGCAACATAATGATTATTCCACCTTGGCAGCGTTAATCTTGAAACAACGCTAGTGTTGGCTATAGAAATAGCTCTTTCTTTCTCTCTCTCTCTCTCTCTCTCTCTCTCTCTCTCTCTCTCTCTCTCTCTCTGTGTGTGTGCGTGTGTGTGTGTGCGCGCGCGCTTTCAGTCCTACCCTATTAATATGAGTCTGTGTGTGTGTTCAGCCTCCACATCAAATATGCGTTTATGTGCGTCTTCAACCCATCCCCTCCGACTATGATATCGACCCGTTCGGTGCAACACAACCAATTTGAGTATAACTTTAACTGTTGCCTCTTACGACATGTTGGCTGGTTCATTACAATATCATTTCTCAAAAACATTTCATGAAATACAGTGTCTAGCGATACATATATAACAACGGCACACTACTACTTCTTACAAACACCGAGGAAAGAAAAAATAAGCAGGAACAATGTGAACACACTGCATGAACGCTACTTACTGGACACATAGAGAGGTTCCTTGACCACGAGCCAGCCGTAGCCATAGACAGTCTCCCCAGCAAAGTATGTGGCCGAAGGGTTGTTGAAGACGATCTGGAACTTGTCGATCTTCTCCATGGGCGCACATTTGCTCCTGAAAATGTGTTCATGTACACATACAATGCTCATGTACACATATAATGTTCATGTACACATATAATGTTTATTTACGCTTATTATGTTTATGTGCGCCTGTGATATTCATATCCACAGGTACTATTTATATACACACATTATATTATATACAGAGGTAATGTTTATATTCAAGGATAATGTTTATATTCAAGGATAATGTTTATATTTATAAACAATATTTCATGCACACATGATGGAGAGTGCAGTTTGTGGAAGAGGAGGCAGGGGTCGACCACCGCGAAGATGGATACAAGACATTGAAGATGCACTGGCACTGAAAGCACATGAGGCTGGAGAGCTGGCTAGGGAAAGGGATACTTTCAGCCGCGCCGTGAAGAGAGCGACGTTCTGAAAAGGGCTTGCTGACTGACCGATGATTGTAATGGTGTGAATTCCCGGGGAAATCCCAGAGAGTTCCCAATGGGGAGGACAGGGTCGGAGGACCAGTGATAGAAGAGAAAAACGAGAAAAGTGGGTCTCGTGTATCTCATGTTGAGCAAAGTGAGGGACACAAGAAAAGCATGAGATGTGAACGGAAGACATGAACCGGGAGACAGAAGTAAGAGAGTTGAAGTTCGGCCCTGACTGAGAAAGGACGCATGAGTGGACGCTTGAGAAGAATAAATGATTTGTACAGCGAGCGTTATATTTCAATGGGAGGACTGAATGTTTTTTACAAACGTCGTAATGTTAGATACCAGAGTTCGTGAAAGATAGATGGATGGTTCGGGAGACGCTGATGAATTCCTGTAGTGTGTGGGAAGTCCGACCAGGTCGCTAGATTCAGCCAAGCAAGACGAGCACGAGGAAGCGTGATTGTATGTGTGCGATAACTGGCGATTCAACGAATAAAAGAAAACAACTCGATATTTGTTCAGGCTGTGTCGTTTCAACTCACTGTTCGTCTGAAAGCAATGTAAACAACACATACCCCTGGATGAGCACATGACAAGTGGAGGCTCTAAAACGGACACATCCGGGACAAAAAACAACGACAGAAGATGACCGGAACATCCCCGAAAACAAAGCTGGTTGGACCAATTGAACTTGACAGCTGATAACAGAGCTGAACAGTCAGTGTAAGTGGCGTACTGTGTCAAGGTCGATTTCCAGTAATCGTCTGAGGTAACAGCAGTTGTTAGTCAAAATTTATTTGTTCAGAACAAGCAACGATAGACATGGTCAGTGTAGTGGCCAAAAACCCGGCAGGTTGGACCAGTTAAACTTCACAGCTCAAAGCGGGGCTGCAGATTTGGCGTAAGTGGGGGACTGGGTCAAGGCCGCTATACAGCCATCATCCGTGCTAACACCAGTTGCTGTGTCGAAATTTACCTGAAGAAAATGTGTAGAAATTTCAAGTACAGTTTTACTGTGTAAGGATGGCCAAATTCGCCACTGGGTAACGTGTCGAAGTTAGTTATTGTTACAGTGTGATAGTAACAACTATACTGCGTATCGTTACAGTGTGATCGTAACAACTATACTGCGTATTGTTACAGTGTGATCGTAACAACTATACGTGTATTACGACATGAAATTAGTCAATGATCATTCCAGTGTTTGAAACAGTAGTTGCAGACGACAACAGCAACCAAGTACAGTGATCGCTAAACATGCTAACATAGCGCAAGTGTGTTAAGACAAGGCATCTAGCTGATTGACATTGGTCAAGCGGACAGCTGACTTATAGCCACATATCCAAGCTAACATACAGCTAGCGGAACAGCGCTATAGGAACATCTGTAGCACAGTGTAGAACGGTTCATAAATATACGTGCAGAACAGTTTCCTGTAAGATCCTTCAAGTCTTTAGAACAGACAGACAGTTTCCATAAATTATTCAGGTTGACACCCATGTTCAACTTATAGACGAGTGCCGCGATTTTTCAAAAAAGTACACATCTACTTCCAGGATGAACCATAATATGAATTTAGGCGGGTAGTGGCCAACTAATGAAGTGACATTACCAATCAGGAGATTCAATTGCACGACACGATCTACAAGAGACTTGTTCAATATATTTCCGTTACAGCCTAGAAGTGTGTTATAGCGAAAAGGAGGATCCGTAAAATAGACTTTGACTTAGCTCGATAGGAGCCATAGTAGTTTTGTTTTTTTTAAAGTTAAGTTAATAGTTTGATATTATTGTTTTGAGTAGGTAGAAAACTATGATGGTGATGATAACAGGAAAGGCTATTACGGGCAACAAATTCTCGGAAAAAGTCTGATATGTTAGTCGAAAGACGCAAATATCGCACCTAAGCTGTAAATTAGCACAACAAAATTGCAGTACGTCTTCAGATAAACTACGAAGAAGAGGATAATCATCTTCCTCATCATCATTATCATCATCAGCAGTTTCTACTTCTGCTGTTAAGCGACGTGGCGATCCACTGCCTGCTATTGTTATTCCGTGTTGATGTAGAAACTAAGAAAAACAAGATATGCACATATAATGTTTATACGCAATATAGAAGGTCGCGCTAGCGCAGTCGATAAGAAGCTCGCTTTTAAATCCAGTTGCGACTCGTGCGACGGTGTTCCCGGGGTTCACCCAGCCTCTAGGAAATTGGTACTAGAGTGATATTCTGGGGTAAATTTAGGAACATCGCTGTAGCTACAGAGTTACGTGCGAACGGCGACACAGGCGGACAATTCTTATCAGCTGTCCGTACTGGTGGCAGAGCACTTATGGTTTATAACCGTGTGCAATGATACTGGTTCACATCTCCCGACTTTACCTTTTTTCGCAAATATATTTAAAAAAAAAAAAACACAGAGCAGTTATGGTTTATTATCGTGTGTAATGGTTCACATCTCCCGACTTTACCTTTTAATTAAAAGATATTTATAAAAACTCACAGATCATATGCCTGCATATAGTTTTAGATATACAGGTATGTCTGTGACTATTAGCAATAATGAAAGACCCTTTTCTATGCCTTTCAGGCGTAAAGGGTATACAGGGCTAGAAATATATTTTATAGACCAAAATGCACTCGATGGGTAATGTGGTCAGCATCACGCCGACCGCCTTTACTTCCCAGGACTGTACCTGGGTAAACCTGGGAGACAGTCATTTTTGAAAAAACATCCAGCCCTCGGCAGGAACCGAACCCACCACCTTCCGATCCGCGGTCGAGCGTCTAGCCGCTAGGTCACGACGGCTCCCTCAATTAGCAATGGATACGAAAAAATTCTTGCTGCAATGGTTGAGGAAGACTTCGGTCCGATTGCTTCTCTGCGTATGTTTCCTTCCTTGACCCACCCCTATCCCTTCCTCCTGAACCCCCTCTCCCTCCAAACCCCCCCCCCCCCCACCCTTCCCCACCACCACCCCACCCCTTCCCCGGTCATTCCTCGTGTCCAGTAAATACATTCCTGATAGCCACACATGCCTGGCTCAGAAGAATCAAGCATAATGGGGCTATACGAGAACCTGTCAAGGATAGTTGACTGAGATGCAATACTGGAATTAAGAAGACAGGTCACTTACAGATCACAAGATGTTGCAATAATGTATCGGAAGAAATTACTTGGGAATCAGAGACTATCACTTTCGGGAATCAGAAGATGATACTTTTAGGAATAATAAGCATACTTTTTCTAGCAATGAAAAGATGTTACTTTTAGGAGTCAGAGAATGCAACTTGTATGAATAAGAAGACACTCGGTCTGGGAATCAGAGAATACTACTTCCAGGAATCAGAGAATACTACTTCCAGGAATCAGAGAATACTACTTCCAGGAATCAGACAACACTGCGTCTAAAAGGAATAGACAGAGACTTGGAATCTGACAGTCAAATCTTTCTGAATGCATTATTGTGGATGTCAGTTCATTCATTTAAACCTCTTACCAATCTTCCTCACCGACCCGTCACTGCCAACCAGCCAGTTGCCTTTGTTAAAGAATCGGAGGCCCAGCTCTCTAACGTAGTTGGTTAAACCGGACTGCGCGGTGACCGGGTGACGAACTCCTTGTGGTCCGGGTTCACGCCCGGGGTAGGCAGAAAAGCCACATTTCTCCCAGATTTACGGTATTTATCATGGAATCTAGGCCGAAGGGTTGCGATATCCATAATACTGAGCCATAGGGTCTGTCTGTCTGTCCATCCAACCACCCGTTTGTTTGTCTGTCTGTCCGTTTATCCATCCATCCAACCACCCTTTTGTCTGTCTGTCTCTCTAGCGTATATTTTAGCATGTTAAAATCTCATTTGTTCTGCCATTGTGTAACCTCAACAGTCAGTCATGACATACACTGCGACAGGACCGCCCATTACTACGCCAATACTTAAAGCTTCGGCCGGGGCTGACCTACATGCATTCCATAGCAACTATCTGCACATAGCAAATCCCTCACACTGTTATCCAAATCAACATGGCAATTAACCTTGTGGAAATACATCATTTACTGAATCATTACCGCTGAATTATATATGTCGAGTTCGTGGGGTCTAGGTCAAGATAACACAAAGAGGTCTTATCTCTCGGAGGTCACACACAAACACATGTCGTGTACACTACCGGTCCTTTGATTCTTGTCAGCTTGAGGCATGGGAACAAACAACAGACGTAAACATACAGGCACTGACCGACACTCACAGAAGATAAGAGAGAAGTGTCAGTAAAGTGTTTTTCCCTATTTGCTTTATTCTGGATTGCGCGGTAATGAACGGAAACGAACACTAAAAAAACTGGGAGAGGTAGCCGAAAGGGCCTCTAGCTGGCTTTGGACGCAACGCAACAACGTAGGGGACGGGCCTCGGTGAGCTGGTCCGGGTGTCTAGTCCATCGTGTCCGAATTGTCTGCCAGTGTTCCTCTGCCAACTGCTAATAAAAGTCTAACATGTGTCCGGTAAACCAAACGTAAGCTTGTCGCTCGGTCGTCCAGGCATGCTGACTGCTTTAATTAGACTGCCGCGGCGATTTCTTATCTCACAGTACCTTCTGCAAACCACCGGCTGAATTACTTCTATTATAATTGCTTG